GTAGAGGGTTGTACTGACAGGTGTTATGGGCGTCCACGGAGCAATGACTAAGTGGTTAGCAGAGGAATGGCGTAAAAGTAGTCTTGGGTGAGTGGTACGTGGGGTGTGAGAAAATACAACCTTAATATACGTTGAATGAATACCTATCCAGTTGATTGATGGTGGTTATGAGATAACAGAAAATATATATTGTTTTCTTCCCTCAGTCCTTGGCACGGATATCTGAAACCCATGTATAATTTTAAGAGCACTAGGATGATCTCTTGTTTTAATATTTATTTTTTGACCCCATCTCTGACACAGTTCTCCTAAAATCCTTGTGAAGTCCTAAGTGGTAAGAGCACTAGGAGAATCTTTTTTTCAAATAAGGTGAGGGGCGCCTGGGTGGCGCAGTCGGTTGGGCGTCCGACTTCAGCCAGGTCGCGATCTCACGGTCCGTGAGTTCGAGCCCCACGTCGGGCTCTGGGCTGATGGCTCAGAGCCTGGACCCTGTTTCTGATTCTGTGTCTCCCTCTCTCTCTGCCCCTCCCCCGTTCATGCTCTGTCTCTCTCTGTCCCAAAAAAGTAAATAAACGTTAAAAAAAATTTTTTTTTTCAAATAAGGTGACTCTGGCTGTGCTTCTGGATGGCTCCCGGATAGCTCATTGGTCACTAGAATGATGAAACTCTGATCAGAAGGTTGGAATTTCAGCCCCATCCCCTACCCTCCAGAGAGGGGAGAGAGGCTGGAAATGGAAATAATAATTGATCATGCCTACATCAACAAACTTCCATAAAATCTCAGAGGTATGGGGTTCAGAGAGCTTCCTAGCATGTGAATGTATCCATGTTTGGGGAATGTGATGCACCCCAGCTCCGTAGGGACAGAAGCTCCTGTGCTTGGGACCCTTCTACACCACACCCTATGTCTTTCCTCAGCTGGCTGTTCATTGTATTCTTTCTCATATCCCTTAATAAACGGATAAATATAAGTAAATGCTTCCCTGAGCCACTTTAGCAAATACATCAAACTCAAGGAGGGATTCCTGGGAACTCAGATTTATAGCCCATCTGTCAGAAGCACAGATGACAACTTGTACTTGAGATTGACATGTGAAGTGGGGTGGGAATAGTCTTGCAGGACTGAGACCTGAAGCTGTGCGATCTGACATTATCTCCAGGTAGACAGTTTAAGAATTGAATTAAGTTAAATTGTAGGACACACAGCTGGTGTCACAGAATTGTTTGGTATTGGGGGAGGGGGGACCCCGCACATTTAGTGACCAGAAGTCAAAAGTGAAGTGTTCTGTGCGAGCAGTTAAGGGGACCCACAGGAGGAAAGACAGATTTTTGTAATATTGTGGTTAATGTGAACATAGGAAAACACAGGGAGCCTTTGCACAGGGGGGCTTTAATAGTTTTGTCACACTAAGCATTAAGCCAACAAAGACCTTAAAGTGCTGTCTCACTATGGACAAGAAGGCTGTTTGTAGAGAGAAGAAATAGATCAGCAGCAGAAACAAAAGGCAAGGATAAACGGGCTCTGAATGGACAAGTGTAACAGCATTACTCCTCAGTGATCAAGCGCATGAGTTACCTTGTTAACATTTGTCGCAAGTATTTAGTAAATACACAGTGAAATGCCAGCTGTGCAGATAACAGCATTTTTCACTAGTGAAATATCAAGCCAGTGAGGTTTTGTAATCACAAAATGAACAATTTCAATTTTTAAACATGCAGTCACTCAAAATGAGTAAGCAGACTTTTATTCAAACCTTACAAACAACCTTTACATTTAGCCTGAGATTAAGCAGGAGAAAGTTGAACCCGTGGTTACTTTTCATTGCCCAGTTAAGCATCTGAACACAAAGTATTTCCAGTGAACACGCATTTATCAAACATGATCATCCCAATGAACTTGACAATGAATAGTGACCCAAACCAAACTGTAATTTACTCTGGTCTACATGATCTTCAGAGCCTAAAAGTACCTATTTAGTAACGATTTTAAAAAGTCACAGAACTTTAAGTCTGCATGAATGGACTTCCCTAAGTTTTCAGCAAACCTAATAAAGGCTAATGAAGGGTTTCATAAGGACGGAGGTCCTGACAGAAATATTATAATTATCTTATAGTATAATAACTGAGAATAAAAAGGAAGAGATGGCATACTATTCTCTAGGAGAATAATGTACTCTTAATGTACCAGAGTCCCTAAAAAAAAAAAAAAAATCCAATAAAGCAGATGGGAAATATTGAAAGAAAAACGGAATTATTCCCGTTTTGTGCTGTATGCTGTACTGGATGATACAGAATCAGATTCAGAAATGAGCAGCTGAAATTTTTACCTGAGAGCCAAATGGGTTCAGGATTCTAAGATCATCAGGCTGAAGCCCTACCCCTGAACAACTTCCTGCTGGTACGATTTTTAGCAAGCCACTGAATGTCTCTGTAAACTCAGAGCCTTCTGCTTTGGGATAACACCGTTTTGGGGCTTCCCTACCTCACAGGGTTGCTTTGAGGAAGAAACAAGACAATAAATGGTAAAGTATTTTGTAAACAAATATATTAGCTGTTGCAACTCTTCATGAATCTTAACTACTAATGCAAGGAAAAGTAAAAAAAAAAATCATTAAAATTATTTTTAAACTAGACTTGCTGTGTTATCATTTTGCAACGTATACAAATACCAACTCATTATGTTGCACACCTGAGACCAATATAATGTTACATGTCAATTATACCTCAATTAAAAAGAAATCACTTAGGGGCGCCTGCGTGGCTCAGTGCGTTAAGCCTCCAACTTCAGCTCAGGGCGTGATCTTAACAATTCGTGGGTTCAAACCCCATGTCGGGCTCTGTGTTGACAGCTCAGAGCCTGGAGCCTGCTTTGGAGGCTCCGTCTCCAAAGAGACATGCTCTGTCTCTCAAAAATACGTATACAAAACAAAAACAAAAGAAATCACCTAAAAAATGATTTTGAGTAGCTACAGGCGGTCCCTGCTCATAAAATGTTCATCGTCTAGGGAGGGGACTGAGGAGACAAGAGCTAATTTAATAGAGCATGGGAAGGCCCAATGCAGGGCAGAGAGAGGAAATACATGACCCTCTGCTTTTTAAAAAGTTTACATTGGATTGGCATCCTCTATAAATTATCAACATTTCAGTTTCTGTAAAGCTTGTTTAAGAGACTCTTTGCTTAGAATGTTTACCGCAGGGGGGCCTGGGTGGCGCAGTCGGTTAAGCGTCCGACTTCAGCCAGGTCACGATCTCGCGGTCCGTGAGTTCGAGCCCCGTGTCAGGCTCTGGGCTGATGGCTCAGAGCCTGGAGCCTGTTTCCGATTCTGTGTCTCCCTCTCTCTCTGCCCCTCCCCCGTTCATGCTCTGTCTCTCTCTGTCCCAAAAATAAATAAATGTTGAAAAAAAATTAAAAAAAAAAAAAAGAATGTTTACCGCAGAAAACTGTTCACTTAAAGTTATAAACTTTCTCATAGATCTAGGATTTGCTCAAGCTTATAACACTGATCTCGTTGACTTTGACCCAATGATTTTGCCAGAAATAAATAGTACAAAAGCTGTATGCATTCTTTTCCCAGTCAAAATGTTTATTTAGATCTTAATTGTTGCAAAGGTTTTGCAAAGTTAAAAAGTAAATGGTGTTTATAAAAGTTTGGTTTTTTTTTGAATACTCCAAAGCAAGTCTCACTTCTTCCATACTGGCAGCCTGTGATGGCAACCAGTGGATCATACTCTCTAACTTCTAGTGCCTTGATGAGGGCTGTGTATAGAGGTCTGAGTCTGGAATGTTTCGGCAAAACTGGGATACCAACTGTCTCACTCATCTTTGGAAAAATTCCTTCTGTCCGTTTTCCCTTTCACAAAATTTGAGTCCTTAAAATCCTAAGCTTTTTAAAAACATATTATTATATATATTTCTTTTAGTGTGAATACGTATCTATCCACAGTATGCCTCAGGGCCTTCTTGATGATTATTACATCTGTTTATATAGTAGTGGTGGGTTGTTTTTTTTTTAATTTTTTTTTTTTGAGGTTTTCTTTTTTATTCCTCTTGGCTTCCAAGAGGAGGCAAGGACACTTACAACCTTTTTCTAGGCGAGTTTGGTTGTACTTACCCTTGTTTGTGCTTC